TTCTGATTAGTGGCTGACCTGCTCTGCCACCTGAGCTACAGCTGCCACCTGCTCTGCTGGTGTCACCTCCAGTCAGGCTCCAGTTGTTCCTCCTTTGAAACGTGCATGAAGAAGTTATCGAACACACTGAATAAAGTTTGGAGAAAAGCTGAAAGAGACACTCGTTGATAAATGACTAAATCCTAATTTACTCTCTGCACATGTTGGACGTCAGGCCCAGCTTTCATTTCACTGGTGTCCAGTTTGTACATGTATCAGAAGATGGAGTTACTCCACTCATATCCTGACACATAGCCGTCACAGAGCCCAGTGTCAGGCCTGCACCTCGTTCTCACTGCAGCAAGTGTGCCGTTGGTAATGGAGCGGTTCTTACGCAGCCCTTTGCTACTGTACCTGAGCACTCTGTGCGCTTTATACAACGTAACCTCATCCACCCTCTTTTTGCTCAAATGTTTTCTATCTAACATTCGTACTGTGATGGATGCATCGGGCACAACTCGGGCTCTGTATCCTGCCCAAGGATGTTTGACCACCGACTCTCTGGGTAGTAGTTGGCCTCCTGCTCGACCTCCGAGCTACAGCTGCCCCTTTATTTGTGTTTGTGTAAAATGATCTGTTGTTGTTCTTTGGTCGCACATCAGTTACAGAGCTCTTATTGCAAACCAAATTCCATCTCAGTCCCAAGATCGATAATGTTTCCCATTGGTTAAAGTGACAGCACTCGTCGTTCAGATGGAGAACTTTTGGCATGTTACACACGATAGTGAAGATAGTGAGAAGAACCAATCGTTCAATGTTATTAAGAACAGACTCTTCGCCTGTTTCAGGCAGCAGAGTGATGTGCAGTTTCCAAAGTGTCAGGAAATGTTATTCCAACATAGTTTTGGAGGCAGGTTGAAAACTGCGGTTCTGTCATATGAACAGAACTGAGCATCTGATGGTGTTAATCCACTTTTATCTATTTATCATGTCAGTGTGTGTTTTCACAAACCATTTGAAGTATTTCCACGAAGACGTCGATGGTTTTGCTCCGGACAAAACCTCTAAACCTGCCCAAACCCAGTCGGTCTTTACACAGGTTGGACAGCTGCTTCATCAGTTAGTTTGAGACGTAACAGCAGCTGTCATAACAGCAGTGTTAGATTCTGGTTGGACACCTACAGACAGCTTGTCTTGCCTTAGTCGACCATCACAGTGGATTTAAAATCAAGGTGTTGTTGAAATGCAGACTTTGTTTTAAACAGAAATATTGCATCACCTGTTGAATCTTTTTTGCATCTTTCAGAGGCTCAAAAGTATTTGGACAGACTGCTGTAATTTTAAATGTACGGATTATTTTCAATACTTCACTGAAACCCTGTGCTGTCGAAGACTGCCTGAAGTCTCCAACCCACGGACATCATGATACTCTGCCAGGCCGTAGCTGCCTTCAGCTGCTTTTTGTGTGTTTGCCTTCAGATTTGTTGGGTTGGGATCAATGTCCCATTTCTTTGTCTCAGAAAAGCTCCAGGGTTG